AAAACAAAAACTAAAACTAAAAAAAAAAAAAACTCAAACAACAAAAAAGACTTATTAAAACATATTTATGTCACATATATTGCTAACTCTAAGTGAATAGTGTCATTTGCTTGCTAGCTTTCCTTTCAGTGTTCTGTCTTCAAATGTATGGCATCTTATCAGGTGGCAGGGAGAAGCCTTTACTCTTCAGATCTCCCTTTGTCATCTGCTTTTACACATGGGAGGCAGCATCTGTACTCAAAACACCACAAGAGATTCAGGAGGCCTTCCTAGTGCTTCCTCCAAGATTGTGCAATGATCAACCAGACAGACCTCAATAAGCCATCACTCTTGGAGCATAGGCCTGGGAGAGGGGAATCATCTCAGAGTGCTCACATTTCAAGACTGCTCTCTAAGCTAGGTATTGCTACCACTTGCAGAATGGAGAGTTGAGAATTGCAATAACAACCCACTTACTCAAAGTGTCACAGCTAGTGCACAACGGAGTTTGGATTCAAATCCACATCCATCTGAATCCAATTTCATAGTCCCCCTTTGAGGAGAACTGTTACAGTTTGTCTATCAGAAACCTAACTCAATTTCAGTCCTCATTGGGAATCTTTCTGAAAACATTAGACAACCTTGGGAAGTAAAGACTAGAGATTGTAGATGACCCTCTTTGTAAAGTGAAGGACCAACTAGGGTTAAAGGCTATGGACTTCACACTGTAGAGGGAGAAAGTATGGGAGACTGAGCAGACAGAGGCCCAGGGGAAACATTAAAAAAATGATCATTTTAAAATAAATCTCTGAAATCAGCTTTCTACTTTTGAATTGTTTTCCTTGTGTTTCCAAAACAAGTGTAGATTTAGCAGAGTATTGTATAATAAAGATCAATTCCTTCAAATGAGAAAGGATAAGAGACAAAATAATGCATAATAAAGAACACAAACTTGGAAGCAAAATAGTTTTGATTTCAAAACATATATTGGCTACTTCCTAGAAAGAACTCTTTGTCATTTAACTCCTTAGTAAAACTTCGGGATGAATTTTTAAAAAGTGACTAATACAAGAGCATTGAGACATGGTAAAGGTGACATGAAGGCAAAAAGTGATGTGAGTGCTTCAGATAGCAACCTCTACAGCAGAGCTCTGCAATTCAATAATGTGAAGAATGCAAATCAAGTCCCACAAGAAAGGGTTGAAAAAGCCTGTAAAATTCCACACAGATATATCATAATCTTCAACCTTGTGAATGGCTGAAAGAAGAAGTAGGGGGCAGATTACCAAGAAACAAGTTTTACCTCAATTTGTTAAATAAATAAATAAATATTTGCATAAAGCACAATTTCCTCGATAAATTTTTGGATGCCTATTTCTGGACTAAATGGAGTATGAGGTACTGGATTTATTTGCCTCACTGCCTGAAACATTTTTAACAGTTAAAAAATATACACACATAGAAAAAAGTACATAAAGCAAGTTTTCAAACAAAAGGAAATCAGGCAACAAAGGACGGAGATCCTGAAAGATGGAAACCAAAGTCTGTGAGTCTTAAAATATTCCCTGGCTTTTAGGAAGTTTCTAAGCCACTGTGCAGAAAGGGAATACCTAGTAAATTCCCTAAATTGAGAAGACAGAGTTCAGAGTTCAGAGAGATCCAAAGTGACTAGAACTTGCAAGACAGAGTGATGGAAATGAGAAATCTGAACAGAAAAAAAAAAAAGAGTGATCTTCGCAGGGTCCCATTTTAGTATTTAGCAGAGTACTGGTTGGTGCATGTGAATGAAGAGCCTATCAGTGCAAGAGGATTAGAGAGAACAGTGCCCAGTGCGTACCCAACAGCCAGTAACAGTGCCTGTCAATGTAAGCAGAATTGGAAAATTTTGTAATTCATGGCCTGTTGTGTAGAGTATAAAAAAAAGATCTTGGATCTCCCTTCAGCAATATGGAGCAATTAACTTTAGTCTTAACACTGCTCCAGTTCCATCTAACAATTTTTTTTTTCAGTAGTAAGGATTGAAGCCAGAGCTTTGGGCTTGCTATGCCCCAGTCTTTTTAAAATTTTGTTTTTGATATAGGGTCTTCCTAAATTTGCTCAAGCTGACTTTGAACTGATGACTCCTGTCACTGCCTCCTTAGTAGCTGTGACATGTTTCACCATGTCCAGCTGCGCCTGACAAATATTAAAAGAAATATTTAAAATAAATTGTTTCCAAGTAACTTAACTGTCTCCTAGAATAGAGTTCAAATTATTTTTAGGAATACAAAAATACTTAGCACTCAATAAGGCAAAAATCATAATATTTGGCATCCAATACAAAATTAACAGGCATGCAAAGATAGCAGGAAAATACTACTTATAATGCAAAGAAAAATGAATCAAGTGAAATTGACCTAGAACTGATACAGATTTTGGAACTAGCCAGCAAGTACATTCAAAGTTATTGTAACTATATTCCATATCCCAAAAAGTTAAGATATGGGACATACATAGTGACACATGCCTATAATCTCAGCACTCAAGTGGCTGAGTCTAGAGGATCACAAGTTCAAAGCTAGCCTGGGCTTCATAGTGAGACCCTGTCTCAAAACAAACAAACAAAAATCTTAAGAAATGGGATATACCACCAAGACTAAAAATTGAACTTCTAAACATGAAAATTACAATGTCCAAGATGATAAATTCACTGAATGGGGAAAAAAGTAGATTAGACTTTGCAGAAGGTATTGAGGACATACAACTAGAAATTATCCAAAGTGAAAAACAAAGAGAAGAAAGAATTTCAAAACAATTAAATAAACATCACTCAGATGAATAAGACCTTCACATGGTTGAATATATATATATAAACTGGAGTCACTGAAGAAGAAAAATGGAGAGAGAGAAAACATATTTGACAAAGTAGTAGCCAAAAATCCTTTCAAAAGTGATGAAATTACAAGCACACAGGTCCAAGAAGCTCAATAAATGCCAAACACAAGAAATAATAAAATTGCTCAAAATGAATAATAAAGAGAAAACTCTTAGATGCAGCCAGAGGAAAAAAAGGCATGTACAATCAGGGAAACAAAGCTAGAGATAATGACAGACTGCTCATTTGAAACACTGAGAGGAGAGGAATATTGGGCTGGAAGGGTCAGGAAGGGTCAAGAAGCATTTGTAGAAGAAGCCACACTTGAGTTCTGACAATAGATACTGCGTAGTATCTAAGAACTAACACTGTTCTTGGAGTAAAACAGACCTGGTTATAAAGTCTGGCTCTACATTTACTGGTTGTGGGACTTGGGGAAAGTCACATACCTCTGGGACTCACTTTATCTGTAAAACAAGATTTGTGGTCATTTGTATTTTATATAGTTTTTTTTTTAATTCTGAAAAGAACAGCATGCTATAGAAATATAGAACATGGTTGTTAAAGTATAAAACCATCCAGAGGAGGACTTTCATTTCCCTTGGTATCTGTGGTCTAGAAATATAAAATAGCATTCCACAAAGATTAAAAGATGAAAAAATACATACTCACCCATTCACAGATACTGGAAAATCTCACTTTACATAAAAAAGTGCAAACAAATGAACAAAAATACATAGACACTTAAGCTTGTACACAAGCTCAGACACTAATCTTGCACAAACACACATGCAACAGAGTCAAAAGCTAGAAAGAATTAACAAAGTCTAAAACTTGAGGTGAAATAAGATGCCCAATTACTATTCCATGACCACCCCCTCTATGAAATTGAAGTTCCCTACAGCCTTTCCTACTTTTTCAGCTAACATCAAACAAGCCATATCAATCCTGGATCCCCAAATACTAGCCCACGTGGCTTCTCTTTTCATTCATAACCTGGGCCTTTCTGACCAATTTCACATTCACAGCCTCATTGTACCAGTTTCTTCTGAATTTCAGGGGACTCAAAGCATAATGGCTTAGAGTGGAAAGTGAGAAAGACAAGGTGGAGAGAGACAGAAAAAGGACAGGAAAAAATGAAGTGTTTTCATTCATTCATTGCTCATTTATTCAACAAATATTTGAATCAGACTTTATCGTTGGTTTGATTTAAGAAAAACAAGTCATCTCTCCTCCTTGTGTTTATAATATAATTGGGTAAACAACCAGATAATTATACTTCTTTAATTGTTTCAATAATCCAGTCTTGGGTCAAGATTAAAACTGTGAATTTGAGGAGCTATCATTAGTTGGATAACCTTGGGTTTCTCAATTTTCTAATCTGTGAAATGGGCACAATGAACACCAGATACCTTAAACTTGAGGAAATTCAGAGAGATGTTCAACAAAATACATAGCTCAGTAAAAGTCATAGGAAGTTTTCTGGCTGAAAAAGAATAATTACTGAGTGGAAGTCTCAACAGAGAGCAAAGAATGCAAGCCCTCAGTACAGGTCACAGGTAAATGCTTAGGTTCTTGGTGGTGTCAGGGATTTGGAAGAACTCAGAACTAATGTTCCAAGTTACAACCAAATGTAGCATTCCTAAAATCCATCTTTCACAGGTGCTTGGCTACCTTAGGTGGTAGAGTAGGAGACTATTAATATCTTTCTCAAATACTATGGCATGCTTGAATCATTTCCAATTCTCTCTTCCCCAGCACCAGTTAACGAAGACTACCTCCATGCATCTAATTTAAAATGACAGTTGTTTGAATGTCCTCAGCTCAGTCTCAGAGATAATATATTTACAGACCAGAGTTTTCAAACATGAGACCCATAGGCCTTCCCAAATGGGGAAAGTTCAAATTTTCAAAATCATCTAACTCTTTCATATATAATTTTGAAAGTCCAACTCAGAGAAACTCTTTCCAACTACAACTTGTTATCTTTTCTTATTCAAAATCATACACAAAAGTAAATATGGAGGGCCACCAGAAAAATCACTGAACAATGAAACTTCCCAATGCCTTCCCAATCAGATGACATCAAGTCCCCAGAGACAGATTCTCGAAGAATCTTTTTCCCTCCTGTCATACTATCCAACAAAATGCTAAAGCATCTATTTACCTGTGTACAGGTCCGTGTCTGTGTATTCATCCACTTTCTTGTGCTGTAGAATATAGTCAGATACCTTGGTTCCAATAGCTGGCTGAACATCTACCCACTCCAAGGAGACCACAGTGCTGGAGGGCTCCACAGTAGGGGACAGCCGCAACCTATAGGGGTAACAGGAATGATTGCTTGTTTGCCAGCCAACATCAATTAGGGCACAAGCATCTGCTTGTGTCAAGATGAAGCAAAGCCTGGGTGAAAATTCTGACTTCACCTACCACCAAATGCTTGGGTGGCCTTATATAAAGTATTTCACTTTTCAAGGCTTCTGTTTTCTCATCCATAAAATAGGGATAGACAGAGCCACATTTTAAGAACAATGTGGAATTCAACAACTTAATACATGCACACAATATGTGTTCAATTGAAATTGATTAATTTTCCATTTATTTAAACTGTTCTCAGTGATGTTTCATTTTCACATAAATTGGCAGTGACTTCAAACGTAGGTTTCAATCTTTTTACAATTCCCTTCAGTTCCCTAATGTGTCAAACAACTATTTAATATTCTTAAATCTCTCGAAAGGATACTTAGTACTTAAAATCTCAAAAACAGCAGGAATCCTGTAATGAATCCTTTTGTAAAGCAACAAAAACCAGAATAGTTGAAGGTTGCAACTGGATCAGTCCTCAGAAATAATGTAGTATAATTCCTTTATTTCACAAAATAGGGAAAGTTAAGACATAGAAAAGGGAAATGGTTTGCACAAATTCACACAGCAAGATGGGGACAGTAAGATGGGGTCATTTTGCCTATCCCCAGCTTGTATTCTTTCTTTTTCCTACTATACCATACTACCCCTTCAAGGACCATCTTACAGTGTGGTTCTTCTCACCCTACAGAAGTATACTATTTGACTCTGCTTCACAGGATTGGCTCCTGGCCACTGCTCTTTTGCTTCTTATACCACTTCTTCTCATTCACATTCCTCCAATCAAAACAAGCTTCCTTTATGTCCTCAAATAAATTCTCTTTGTCAGGGTCTTCTCATATGATGCTCCTTCTGCCTAAACCATGATTCGCACCATCTGTTGCCTGTCTGACTCCTACTGTAATTCAGGTCTCTTCAAACAGATTTCCTGATTACTCCCCCTCCTTTCCTCCTAAAGCATCTCCCCATGATTCTCCCTATGAGAAAAACATTTGTTTTTCTTTATTCTTATTTTTTTGTGTGCTTTTGAGATGGTGTTTTGCTGTGTAACCCAGGCTAGACTCAAACTCAAGATCCTCCTGCTTCTGCCTCCCAAGTGCTGGGATCATAGGTATGTATCACCATGTCTAGCTCTTATTGAACTTTTTCAACTGTGCCTTATTTCCATTGGTATCTGTCTCCCCGTAAACCTCCAGTGCTTAAATGCACAGTCTATGCCTGTCTTGTCCTTTAATATATTCCTCAGTGCCTGACACATAATGGGTGTTTAAAATTATGTGTTGATCAAATGAATATAATGAAGTTCTTAAGGAGAAGTTCTACTCTTTCTTTATCTCAGTAGCTCCAAAATAAGAAGTGACAAGACAGAAGTCAAATGCCCTCTGCTAAAACAGCTGAGTCAAGGAAGATGTGAGACATCATTTAAAATAGGGCACACTGTGGTATCAGCATCTATCTCTGCTCCACTATTCCATTCTTCCAGAGCTCCATTCTTTCTCAAAGAAGGAGTTAGGCACCAGAGATTTCAGGGATCTGGCTAGATATCTGAAGCACAGAATCAAACCATAGCCTGGGCTGGCAAGACAAAAATATGAAACCACTAACAGGGCTGGCCAAAGAAAGAGGGGCCATACATACGTACACCGGCTGCGGAAGGGGGCTGCAGTTGGGGAGCCCACTGACATCAAAGGCACTGAGGTCACACCTGCACCAGTCATCGATCACATCCCCTTTCCCTGAGCACCAGTAGGAACTCATCAGTGCACTCTTGAAGGCCTGGAAGAAAGAATTACATAAGGGGTGATGACTAGGGTGGAGAGACTGAGAATAAAAGTGCTGATGCCATGATGTCTGCTAACCAAGGCTCAGATTAGCCTATCTAGACATAGAACACCATCTTTGCTTAAGTTGTTGGCACCCTACCACCAGGTTCTCACATCCTGAGATATTTCTTAACCAGCAGCCAGAATGATCATTGAATACTAACAGCATTCATTGAAACTTCTCCTGACCATGACACGCTAACTACATTTAGTTCACTAACTACATTTCATCTTCACAATAACCCCATATGATAGATATTGTTATTATTGCTGTAATTATCAAGCACACAGAAAGTTGGTAACTTGTATGAGGTTTGCAGCTAGTAAGTGATCAAGCTTGGATCTGATCCAAGGCAAACTACTTGCTCCAGAGCTTGCTCTGTTTAACACTTTGCCACAATGCATCTGTCCATCTCACTGCCCTTAATAAAAACCTATAGAAGCTTTCCACAGTTTCCACAGTTCTCAGGACTCAGTCTTAACTCCTAGTTTTAGCTCCTGGCTACCTCCCCAGTCTTACTCCTCACCACTCTGATGACCTGTGCACAGTGCTGCTCACTCCCATGCAACCACTACCATTTCCACCAGCAGTGAATTCCTGTTTATATAAAGTGTGCTCTAAATCAGAAGACAGTAAACTTTTTCTGAAAGGATCAGAGAATAAATATTTTTGGCTTTGTGGCCAGGTGT